TTTTTTTTTTTTTTTTAAATTACTGTTTAAACTCCTCATTTGTTATAGGTCTGTTTAGGTTGTCAGTCTCTTCTTTGTTTAATCTTGGTGGTTTGGATGAGAACAGAAATCCATCCATTTTTTTTTAATTAAAAAAATTTATGCGTGCTTTACTTTCACTCATGTGCACCACGTTCGTGCTTTCTCTTCTTTCAGTGTTTCTAACTTGATGGAGAACAGGTTGTTTAAAGTATTCCTTTACAGTACTCTGAGTTTCACTGGTGTCTGTTGTGATGTTTCCCTGTTCAACTCTAATTCTATTAATTTGAATCATGTCTTTGGGTTTTTTTTGTTTTTGGTTAGTTGGGCCAAGGGTTTGCTGACAGCTTGTCAAAGAACAAGCTCTTAGATTCATTGATTCTTTCTATCATTTTCTTTTGATTTCATTAATTTATGATGTTTTTACCATTTATTCCTCTCTACTGGGTTTGGGTTTGGTTTGCTGTTTTTTGAAATCATTGAATCACATCACTATCATTTATTTCTGCCTCTTCTGATTTTTTAAACAGGTTACTTGGGGCTATGTTAGTACCTCTTAGGTCCACTTAATGTACCCAGAGGTTTTGTTGTATTATGTTTTCAATTTTATTTAACTTCAGGATTAAAACTTTTTTCTTGATTCTTTTCATTTAGTAATGTGTCATTTAATCTGCATGAATGTATATATTATTAGGGATTTGTTTGCCATTGACTTGAAGCTTTACTGTATTGTGGTTAGATAAGATACACTGAATTATTTCAATTTTCCTGAACTTGGTATGTTTTGTGTCAAATTATGTGATCCACTTTATTATTTCTATTTTCTGAGACAAGTTTCTGGCTATCCCTGACTATCCTTGAACTCATTCTGCAGACCAGGCTGGCCTCAAACTCAGAGATCTGCTTGTCTGTCTCCTGGGTTGGAATTAAAGCTGTGTGGTCAATGTGATCTATTTCATAGAAGCATCCATGGCCTGCTGAGTAGAATGTATATTCTTCGGTGTTTGAGTCAAACATTCTGTACATATTTGTTAGGTTCATTTTATGTATGGTATCACTTAATTCTGGTTCTTTTATTTTATTTTTTTGTCCACATGACCTGTCTACTGAAGAAAGTGGGATACTGATATCAGCCCCTAATACTGATTTGGAGTAATCTGTGTTTTTAATTCAATGGTATATTTCTTATGAAATTTGGTGTGCCAGAATTTGGTGCATACAGAACTGTAATGTATTTTTGTTCAATTGTTCTCTTGATTAGAATGAAGTGTCCTTCTTTATCTCTTCTGATTAATTTTAGTCTGAAATCTATTTTGTCAGATATTAAAACAGCAATACTGGCTAGGCAAAGTGGCAAATGTATTTTAATTACACCACTTAAAAGGCAGAAGCAGGAAGATCTCTGTGAGTTCAAGGCCCATCTGGTTTACAGCAGGCCAGGACTACATAGTGAGACACTGTCTTAAAAAATAAAAAGGTAGTGACACTTCTTGCTTCCTGCTTCCATTTGCCATAGATAAAGGAGAAAGAAAAACTTTCCATGATATAAACAAACAAACAAAAAATTCATATCCATCAAACCAGCCCTAAAGAGAATATTGAAAGCAATATTTTGTTTTTAGACTGGAAAGTAAAAAAGCATAGTCAAAAGATTACAGAAATAAAACGAGTGAAACTGTAATTATGGAAACACAGAATAGGATAAAAAATGCAAAAAGCAAAACAGCAACCAACATACACCTTTAGATATAACTTTAAATTTTAATGGCCTCAGCTCCCCAATTAAGAGACATTGGTTAATTGAATGGACTAAGAACTCAGCTTTGGGGGCTGGAGAGATGGCTTATAGGTTAAGAGCACTGGCTGCTCTTCCAGAGGTCCTGAGTTCAATTCCCAGCAACTACATGGTGACTCAAAGCCATCTATAGAGAGATCTGATGCCCTCTTCTGGTGTGCAGGTGTACATGCAGACAGAACATTGTAGACATAATAAATAAATCTTTTTTTTAAAAAGCTTTAAAAAAAAAAAAAAGAATTCAGCTTTGGACTGAAGAGATGGCTCAGAGATTAAGAGCACTGTCTACTCCTTCAGAGGTCTGAATTCAATTCCCAGCAACCACATGGTGGCTCACAACCATCTATAATGAGATCTGGTGCCCTCTTCTGGCCTGTAAGCATATATGTAGGCAGAATAATAAGTATATCTTAAAAATCAAAACAAAACAAAAAGCTCAGCTTCAAGCTGGTCATGGTGGCACACATCTTTAATCCCAGCATTCAGGGAAGCGAGTCTAGGACAGCCAAGGTGCACAGAGAAAGCCTGACTAGAAAACAAAGAACTCATCTTCAAAGATCAGGGCCACCTTAAAGGGAAAGGATAGAAAAAAATGTCTTCTCAGCACCCACCATTCAACAGTTTGCAGTTCCTCACAAAGTAGTGTTACTCCATGAATCAGGGATTAACAGAAACACTTATCTATACAAAAACTCAAGCACAGGTATTCATGGCAGCTCCACGGTGGGAACAGGCCACATATCAATAACGAAACAAGGATGCAGCCCACGGCAGAGCACGCCTGTAATCTCAGCACTGGGGAAGCAGAGGCAGGCAGATCTCTGTAAGTTTGAGTCCAGCCTGGTCTACAGAGTGAGTTACAGGACAGCCAGGGCTACACAGAGAGACCCTGATTCAAAAGAGAAGAAAAAAAGGGCAATAGACAAAATATGACTCCACCCACTGTGATTTTTTTTGTGTGTATTTATGTGTGGTGTGCATGTGTGTCTATTGTGGGCACATGCCTATTGGTGTGTGTGCGTGCACATCTGTTGATGTGTGTGTGTGCACACGCCTGCAGAGGCCAGGCCGGAGGTTGTGGCTGGGTGTCTCCCTTGATTGCTCTCCACTTTATTGACTGAGTCTCCTGCTGAATCCACAACACACTGATGTTGGCTAGTCTCCTTACCCAGCTTGCTCCAGGGATCCTGGCTCCCCTCACACAGGCCAGGATTACAGGCAGGCTGCCACAGGCACCTGGTTTCTCTATGGACGCTGGGGACCCAGCTCAGTCCTCGTGATTGTATGAAAGTGCTTTCTCCACTGAGCTATCTCCCCAGTCCTCTATTGTGATCTTTATGTGCAATGAATAGGAGTGAAGTATTGGTATGTATCACAACATGGAAGAACTTGAAAACAAAGGCCACACACTCAGCCAGGAGTGGTGGAGCATGCCTTTATGCCTTTCATCTCAGTACTCGAAGAGGCAGAGGCAGGAGGATCTCTGTGAGTCTGATACTAACCTGGTCTACATAGTGAGCTTCAGGACAGCCAGAACTACATAAAGACATCACATCTCAACAAAACAAAAAGCCACAGACCCAATTATTCTAGAAAACACAAATCCAGAATCAAACTGGGCTTAGGGGTGGGAGGGCAGGCATTTGTCTTAGGGTATAAAGTTCTGGGAGCAGATAGTGACATTGGTTATACCTCTGTGCATGTGCTAGGAAGGCTAGTCAGAGCTCAACAGAGCCATTCCAGAATTCTATGCCAGGACTTATACATCTGTATTAAGTAGCACTTGCATGAAAAGGTGGGTTTCTCAAGGTATCATAAAGGACATAGGCCTACTGGGGACAGACTCACTGCCCAAGACCTTACCTGCAAAAAGATGGGGTGCCTGACCTACCCCTGACGCCAGTGCAGGTAGGTTATCCTGACAGACTTCCCCCAGAAACACACAACACTTATGCAAGTCTGGCTGGCCTGGAACTTACTACATGGACTAGGTTAGCTTTAACTTGTTGATCCTCCTGCCTGGCCTCCTAAGTGTTGGGCTGCAGGTGAGCATCACCTCACCTAGCTTTTGTTGTTGTTTTTTCAAGCAGTCTTGCCTGTAATCCATGCTGGCCTAGAACTCGATCCTGTAACGTCTCCCAACTGCTGGCATTGTAGGTGTGGTGCCATAAGCATGGTTACACTTGCTGGGAATCAACGCCTTACCACTAAGCTATATTCTCTGGCAGTGTTTTAATGAATCATTTTCCATTGTTACATACATAAAAACAAGTTGATTTTACCCAGCCCAAAGCCTGTTCTCCTATCCTAGTTAGCTGGTGAAAGGAAAAGAGCTGATGGTCAAGGGAACCACAGCCCATTTAGCCCACACCCTTTTAATTCAGCGCATAATTAAATTGGTTTGCAAACTTCTCGTGTTTCTTCTGGTCCATCTGATTCATGGCAGCCACTACTCTCTGCACCGCTGCCCTATGGAGAAAGCAAAGTAAGATATGACTGAGGACTGACAGGACTCTGGGATTCTGGGTTGGTTGCTGCCCCTGGACCTCACAGAGGCTTCCAGTGCATAACTTTTGTAAGGTGCGGCTTAGACAAAATAAGGCTCACCAGCTTGAGCTGTAAGCCACCATGGTCCTTGGCTATGTCCCCCAGCCCTGAAGGGAGGTGCAGGAGCCCACACTAGCTAATCCCAGGCTACACTCCAGTGTTAAGGCACAACTGAACATGGCTGCAGGTCCAGACATATGGAGAGTCATCAGGAAGGGTTGTGGGAGAAAGCAGAAGGCCTGTGTGGCCCCGCATCCACCCCATCCAAGGCTGACCAGGGAGCTTACTGACCAGCACTATTGTGAAATATCTAGACCCAGCAGTGCCTGACCCCATACCTATCTTCTGTAGGGTTACTCCTGTAGACAGCATGGCCCTAACCCAGGGCACAGCAAAGTCAGCACCTGACCTTTTAGGACCATTTTGCTGCAACCAGCTTGACTTACAGAGAGGTGGCTCTGGGCTTCTAGGAAGGATGCTCAGAGTACAGAGCTGCAGCTCTGATCCTAACCAACTCTTGGAGGTCACTGTGATGGTTACTACTCTGGCTATTACAGTCGCCAGCAGCTCCTGGCAACTGTGGCTCTCCCCCAACATATCCTAGAGCAAAGCCTGGGGCCTTGGGCCAGTGAATAGCTCTTACTTGGCAAAGACTTTCTTCTCCAGGCGGGCCCGGGAGGTATTGGCACGTTCTCGAAGGTCAGTAAGGTTGGGGTGTTTCTTCTTTCTTCCTTTGCCCTTCTTGCTATACTTGGATGAACCGAGGTCTACCCCTGTGGCTGCCTCCACGTCCTTCATAAACTCAGGGTCCTGCCAATCTGAACAAAACTTGAAGGTTTCAAAAGGTGCCTGGCATCAGCCAGGGGTGACCCTTGTGGGTTTCTTCCTGATGGAGGGCTGAAGCCTGCCTGCCACATGCCCTAATAACATAGTCTGAGAGGGTCTGTGCAGACTCACATGGCTGCATTGGGGATGAGATTCATACTAGAGACCTCTTTCCTTATTCCCACTTATTCCTCCTTCAGTCACTTAGTGCCCTAGTATCCCAAGGGTCCTCACAACTTGAACAGGCTGGAAGGATGCAGGCAGGCCCAGCTCCACCAGCCACTACTCCCGGCATTCCTGACCACTCAGATGAATAGTCCATGCACTCACAGTGTCTACAGGCTACTTCCCAGCCTGCAGGCTGGACTATGGCCAACCAGGCCAGCTGTGGTGCTTTCAGACATATCTACTAATGGGCATGTGAGGCAAGGGTATCCAGAGTTGAGGTACATGGCAGGCTAGAGAGGGGTTCTCTGGTTCACAGAAAATGTGGTCATAGGCTTCTAAGTGCAAAGCAGAGTTAACCCTCCTGTGAGCTGGGCACTGCCTGCTCTAGCCACAGGGGTCTACAGAAAGTGAGGGGAACTGAACAGCAGCCTGTCCACTGAGCAGCTTCATCAGTACCAGGCCAGATCCATGGCCAGATCATTGCTGATACCCAGGGCTGCTGAAATTGTTAGCCATGTAAATAAGCACCAGGCCCTCTGGGAGTCAGAGGCTGGGACTGCTGAGTTACCTCCGCAGTCTCTGTCGGCTCACATCCACAGGCTGTCCTAAGCTCTGTTAGGCGTGACCCTGGTCCAGTCTGCCTTGGGAAAGTCAGCCTAGTGAAGCAGGTAAAGCAGTAAAGCTAACACTTGTAGGCCTGGGTGAGCCTTGCAGGCAGAAGGACACTCCTTACTACAAGGACACTCAAATGCCAGAGGTCCCATGAGCTTGGCCAGAGTGGATACGGAACAGTGTCTGGAAACAGGGTGGCAGCAAAGCCAGACTGTGAGAGTGGCACGTCCGCTGAGGGAGAAGAAGCACGCCAGACAGACAGATGGCGTGGCCTCTCCAAGCTGATTTTTTGAAGTGAAGGAACTCAGGACTGCACGATTCAGATACAGGGACGATTAATCCAAGATTAAGGAAAACTGTCTAAACAGTTTATCTCCCAGTAATAAGAAGGCGTCACAGTTTAGGAACCTGGTGAATAGAGCAATTGTTTAAACACAACGAAAAAATGCCGGCATCCAGTGGAGATGGAATGAGCACCTCAGGAAAATGAAGGAGCAATTTAAAAGCCTTTGAAGAAAATCAATAGACGCTGGGGCTGTGCGGCCTTCCTGGGCGCTGAAGGGCCCTGGAGCACCGTGTGCATTGTCACTGAGGTTAGCACCAGGGAAAAGAAAATTGCCCCGTGTGCGAGGGAGGCGGGATCAATACTGCAGTTAGTAAAGAGATGCTATTTCACATCTGACTGGCCAGCACCGGGCTTGGCCCGTGGCCTGATACCTGTTTGTTAACAAGCCACCGAGGGCTGGAAAACTAGATACTCTTCAGGGTTGACACAAAAATAGGCACTTAATTTGCTCCTGAGTGTGAGCCACCAGGGAAGGTTTCTCCTGCAGATGAACAGGCCTGGCTCTCCCCTCCGCTTATGCAACCCAGACATGTCTCTGTGCACAGGATGAAACAGGCATTTGTGTCTTAGACCACAGGGCAAGAAGCCATGATGCAGCCTGTAGACATGTCCCCTGTACAGAAGGGCCCTCCATGGGCGGACCACAGCCTCTTAGCTTGGTTTAAACTAGTCTGAGTCTGACCACCCATGTAGATAGTGAGGTGAGCTGGAGCTGATCAAGGTGGTCAGAGCCAGCAGAGCAGACCACCTGGACTCTAGTTGCAAGAACTAGAGTGGATGATATCAGGAGAGACAGATGGCTACAAGTCCTTCATCTGCTCAGAAAACAGCAATAAGAAGCAGAACTGGGGACTGTTGCGCAGCGGCTGAGTGCTTATCTAGCACTTGAAAGACTCTGGGTTCAACCCGCTGTGCTGTATGGAGTCAGGAGTACCCACTTTCCTGATGTGAGCCTTGACGATAAATACCTCACAAGCTATGTGTATCCAACCTTACCCATGGAGCCCCCAGCCTGCTTCTCAGTTGCAAGTGGGACCACAAGTTTCAGGGCTGTGCCTGCAGCCCGTCTCCTGCTCCCACACACCTACCTGGATGTGCCTGCTGCTGCTGCAGCTGCCGCCTTTGCTCTCGGGCTCTGTCTTCTGGGTTGAGAGGCTGCCCCTTGTCATCTCTGGGGATGATCTTCCCATGGAACGGGCACTAAACAGCAAGCACAAAGCAGCTGATGGCCAGGAATAGCACAAACAGCTCTAGAGGAGGGTGCGCAGCCAAACCCTGTACACATGTGCCCTCCGCCAGGAGGGGGAGATCTGGGGAAAGACAGCAGCAGGCGTCTGTCTGTCCAAAGCAACTTCTTTCTTCTGTTCTGCTACTTTCTGCATGCATACACTCCCCACCTTCAAGACTCGGCCCACACAGGGCTCTGGCTGCAGAGCCGTGGTCAGAAGTCAATGTCAGGGCCCAGGGCAGACAACCCTAAACAGGACTGTCTGATGGCCAGTGGCTAAACAATTATGACACTGCTTATGAGCCTTCTTCCACAGGGCTCCTCAGGGCTCACAAGTATCCCTGGTCTAGAATGGAGGCAAAGAAGGCCAACACTTCCCCAGGCCACTACTTGTGGCCCGCCTCTCCTGGGTAGGCAGAGCTTCATGCCCATGGCCTTGCCTACTGGTCTTACCTTTAGCCGATCCTGGCGCTCGCAGAGGCTGCCATTAGGCCTCGGGGCCCGGCACTTGTGCTGCACAGGCTCAAACTTCCCTGAAAAGGTGATGTGTCGGCTACGGAGCATCTCAGAGACATGGGCACTATCCACCTCCTCCTCCATCTCGCTGGGTTTCCAGAAGCGGTGTTGAGAGTCGGATCTGCAAGGTGTGCCGGAGACCCTCAAAGTGGCTACTCTGGACCAGAAGAGGGGGCTGGCCTAATCCCAACACTCTGGAGTTACCCCTCAGCCCCGGGGAAGCACTGGCCCCTGGTAGCCTTCCTGGACTAGAGAACATGATCACTCCAGTTGGGTTCAAATCCTGATATTCACGAACCAGCCAAAGATGGCAGGTATAACCACTAGCCTGAGGTTCAAATTCCCCTTGCAAAGCAGGGCAGCAGCTCCAGGACCCTAAGCTCCAAGGCCCTCTGGCCATGGCTTTGAGAGTAACATGAGTCCATGTCAAAGGTCTCTTTGCCATTGCGAGGGTGAATATGGGCTCTGACATTGCCCCTGACCAATGCCTCCAAGGAAGAAGCATGGGTAAATTCATACCCAGTCTTCATGCAGTGCTAAGGGGCTAAAGGATGGAGCTCTTGCTCTCTGGCTATCATTAAACCTTATATTCTTTTCTTTTTCTTTTTTTCTTGACAGTGCTAGGGATTGAACTAAGGGCCTCACGCACACTAGGCTAGCATCAGGCCACTGAACTACAGGCTCAGTCCATCACCAAGTCTTATTAAAGCCACTTTTCTCTTCACGCCCCAGAATGGGGCAGGCTCTGCCACTCCGCACTCCCTCCATCGACACACAGCAGTGTTCCTCAGGCTCTGCACATGGATGCCAGCTGCCCCAAGAGCTGCCATTCTATGGGTTGTTCAGAGATTGTGGGGCAAATGGCAGGCAGAAGAGTCCCGACTGATCTGGCCTGTAGCTGGGGCAACAGCACCAACTGACCAGGAAACTGTGATGGCACCAGCAACACAGGTGGGTCATGACTTGAACTTGGGGAAGTTCCTCACAGCAAACCTAACTATGCCGATATTTAACATCATGAGGCCGCACAGCAACCAGGATTCTCACAGCAACCAGGAAACAGGATTCTCACGTGAAGACCTGGCTCCTTTTCTTGGGCTTCCAACTTCTGCCATGTAAGCTTAGCACCCAGGTAGCCAGCCTGAGTCCACACATCATTGGTTTTACTGATATTAGACTCACAGCTCTAGCTTTTCAGCATAGTGCCAGCCAATGTAGCCTGGGCCTTCCAGCCACCCCTGACTCCTTCCCCCTTCTAGATGAGTTTTCACATGTACTCCTAAATGTATCTTGCTCCCCTGACCTTCCCCTAGCTATCTGCAGCCTGGGTTCTGCTGGGGTGGTCCCACTCAGAAGGTTCTTGGAGAACAAGAGTCCAGCTTCTGACTCAGTTAACACTGTGCCCATCAGCCTATAGCACCTTGAGGAGCCACAACTGTCAGGAGGCTCTCACAACTGAAGTTACCCCTTTAGCTATTCCTTCACACTGAGTAATGGATGACCTTCATAGGTACCTCCTGGAGAAGTAATAGTCAGACTCCAGTCCCAGTGTTCTACAGCCAGAAAACAGATATCCAAGGCCAGGCCACGCTGAGCCCTGGGAACCAGATACCTTAGACTCACTTAAGGATCTTTCCAGCTGTTAGGTGCTCCTGGCCCCAGTAACACAGGTCCACTCCGAAGGGTACAATGGGTGCTCGGGCCCGCTCTGCTTGCTTCTGGGCTTCCTCTGGCCCTAAAAGTACCCTGAAAACAGACCAGCACATGTGGGCTATCCATTCCTTGTGTGGCCACTTGCCTTTCCCTCCCATACTCTAGGCAGCCCAGAGGCCTGGGGTTAGCATGGGCCTGAGCTTTCAGAGTGGCTCCTGACCCTGGTGGGCACTGGCTCTGAGCTGTGATGTAACCTGCTCAGGGTCACCTGACATTTTCTTCAAGAATGTGGCCTGGCTGCAGGCCCTCCAGAGGCTGCTACAGGCCCAGCTGCACACCATGCCCACAGCAGCAGGCGCTACTTGGCTGGGGCTACACTCCAGGCCATCTCTCAAGGTGGGGTTCTTGGGCTCAACCTGGTCAGGCCGGCAGTGATCCAGACAGGGGGTAGCAGTACTAGGCATCGGGGCATCTGAAGTCACCTGGAAGATGATGAGGTGGATGGCAAGGAGTCCTGGAACCGCAACAGCTGGGCAGCTGCTGAGGTGGGGTCTGACGCCTCCTCTTCCCTCCTCATCCTTATCTTCTCCTGTAGGCTAGACACAGTTGTACCCTTCATCAGAGTCTTTGGTGGGGCCTTTGGCTCCAGCCCTGAAATGAAACATGTCCATTTCAAAGATCACTCTATAACCCAGGGAAAATTAGGGGAGCACCATCTGGTCAGGCCTCAGATGCACCCACACATGACAACACTCACTTCTCCAAGAGCACAGGGATGCCTGTCAACCTCTACGATAGGGGCCACACTCTTATATAGGGGACACAGGGCAAGGACCCAGGAAGCCCTAGCCTACAGGGACTGGCACCAGGAGCCTATTTAGAGCTGTCCACGGCACAGACTGACAACACTGCTCCCTTTGCCCACAGCTTCCCACAGTGAGAGGATGGACACCCACGTGCAAAACCTGCTATGCCAAAGACAGGCTACCTATAGTGGGAACGCAAGTTTCCTTCCCCCTGACAGGGACCTCCCTTTACTGAGCAGCCTTTGTATGAGGGTGACATATGATTCAAGCTGAGAGTCAGTGGTACGTCTACCCTGTGCTATCCTCAAAAAAAAAAAAAAAAAAAAAAAACCACCCACCACGGCTGGGCTGTTCCCAACTTCTACCCAAAACTTTAAAAGCACAGGGGTGGCTAGGCCTGAGCCCTGTGGCTGCAGCACCTTTTCTGTGGCTGGAGGGTAGATGTGAAGCCCCTGACTACAGGATGCCACCCTAGAACACCTGCCCTACCTACTCCAGCTAGAGGAGGTTATGATGTTGACACTTGACACCAAGATTTCTATAGGATTTGGCAGATGACACCATCCTCAGCCCAGAATTCAGTCTCATATCTCCAATGGCAGAATCCTGCACTCTGTTCCCTTCGTGCTCACTCTTGGCTCTGGCTCTTAGCAGGCTGCATGTAGGGCCAATTCTGACTCTTGCTGGCCCCAGAGCATAATCTAACCTAGGACTCCAAAGGCAGTTGCTACCCCATTTCTCACATTTACTGTAGGAGCAACCTCAGCTGGACACCAGCCCTGACAGTAGCACCTGCGCTCACAGCAAAGCTCCGACTTCTGAGTACCAGGCCACCAAAGACAGAGAACAGATGATCACCATTTCTTGTTCTAGGCAGACTCCACAGCTGAGACACCGCAAGAAGGAAACGTCACCCGGAAGGACTGCAGACAACAGAGCGCCATTCTGGCAGTCAGAAGAGAGACAGCTACTAAAGGCACCTTCTATCACAGATGAGGAACAGGGGGCTGGAGAGATGGCTTAGCACCTAAGAGCACTGGCTGTTCTTTCAAGGACCCAGGTTCAGTTCCCAGCACCTCATGGTAGCTTACAACTGTCTGATTCCAATCCCAGGGGATATGATATCTTCTTCTGGCCTCCTTGGGCACTAGGCACAAACATACTAGCTGGCAAAATAACCATACACATCAAATAAAAGTTAAAGAAGAAAAGATAAGGATCAGGAAACTCTGCAGAGGAATAATTGCGTGCTGGGAGCCTGCAGGGCGGAGGGACCAATGGTAGTACACACGAGCAGACTTGCACAGCTTAGTAATGTTAAGGGCAGATGGACAGGTACTGGGGTCCTTGTTGCTGGAATTCCAGAGGAAAGAATTTATCTGGAATGTCGAAATGTTGGAGAAATGAGACAGTGTCCCTGAAATTAAGGGACTTGCTGCCTGCTAGAGAGGTGAAGGAGCAACCATGGTTGAAAGAGGACATTAGAGAACATTAACAATAGTAAAGAAGGGTGGAGGACTGAATATCCCACTGGAAGTTGTACTGTCAGCCACAGCAGCAAGTTCGGGGCCTTGAAATGTCATCTTGAAGGGTACAGGGAAGGGCTGGGGCGGTAGTGATGTGGCAGAGCAGGTACCTAGCGTGAGGAAGGCTCTGTGTCCTGTCCTCAGTACCACAAAAGAAAAAAGGGAAAGGAAGTGTGTAGGAAGAAACAAGTTTACAGTTGAACACCCAGCTGAGCTGTAGTACCCACCACAGGTACAGGAGGGGAGTCCTGTGGACGCAAGACCTTCTACCCCTTACAGACTCTTTAAGAAAATCCTTAGCATAAGTGATCCATCAGAAAAAGGAAAAACTAAATCCTAAGCACAGGACAAGATAATGAATAAATGACTTTTGACATCAGAACTTTTGACTCAGTGGGTACCAAGGTGGCTCAATGCCATGCAGGTGGGATAAGAAGGTCCTTAATCGGGGCTGGAGAGATGGCTCAGTGGTTAAGAGCACTGTCTGCTCTTCCAAAGGTCATGAGTTCAATTCCCAGCAACCACATGGTGGCTTACAACCATCTATAATGTGAACTGATTCTCTCTTCTGGCAAGTGTAAATGCAGATAGAATACTCATATACATAAAGTAAATAAATCTTTAAAAATTTATAAAAAAAAAAAAAACCTATTAGGGGCTGGAGAGATGACTCAATGGTTAAGAGCACTGCCTGTTCATCCAAAGGACCGGGGTTCAATTCCCAACACCACATGGCAGCTCACAACTGTCTGTAACTACAGTTCTGACACCTTCACACCAATGCACAAAGAATAAAATGAAGAAGGTCCTTAATCACCTGTCTTCTACAGAGGACAGTAGAGAAACCATAAAAAAATAGTGAATAAGGGTTAGCTAAAGGCTGGGCTGGTGGCAGGAAGCATGCTTATCATGTGTGAGGCCCTGAGTTCTGTCCATAGAACCACAAAAATGGAAGCAGTGAATGATAAAATTGGGTAAAATTGGAGATAGCTATCAGAAGGTTATATAAAGATACGTTTTTTTAAGCAGGAGAAAAAGCCAAAAAGTAACAGTAGCAGCAAAGCAAGAAAAAGTATGGTACTCAGTTCTGAACAGACTGAGGACCATTTGCCAAATGAACTAATAAATCTATGAGCAGACAGACTGGGCAAGTCAAATATGTTTAGCTAATAAATAACTATTGAGAGGGCAAAATAAAAAAGTTAATAAACAATCAAAGGACGGCTAAGAAAACACGTTAATGCCAGGAAAGTAGGTTTTAAGTTTAAAAATGGTATGAAGCAAAGAGTACGTGAAGGTGTGATAAATGACTATGGACCCGTACCTTACAGTCTAAGTGCAAGCTGGACCTCACTTGTCACCAGAACTTAGGGCACCTGATCAGGTAGGAGAATCTTGAGGTCAAGGCCAGGCTGGGTTACATAGCAAGGCCCAAAATCAAGAAAAAAAATCATTCAGAAATGCTAAATTATATGCTGGGGGTGGGTTTGTTGGAGGGACGACTCCCCTTTTCTGAGGGGTCAAGGAAGGGGGGATAGGGGATGAGGGAGGAGCAGAGGGAGGAACTGAGAGAAAAGGAGGGAGAGGGAGGGCTAAGATTGTGATGTAAAGAAAATAACTAAATAAAATATATATAAAAAAAAGAAATGCTAAGTTTGTGCATTATTTTCTAGACTCAAGGTCAGTAAGTGTTTTAGGCATGTGATATAGTTATGTGGTTCTAGTACCCAGAAGGCCTGGAGTAGGAGGATTTAAAGTTGAAGGCAGGTTGAACTCAGTGCAAGATTACTGTTTCCAAAAGAAAACAAAACAAAGTCTATGCAACCAAAAGAGACAACCACTGAGGAAGGCCAACACACTCTACCTAAGGCCCCTGGGAAGGTAAAGTGTACAGCTCTGAAAGGCCACAGCACTAAGCCACCAGGAGTTCTGATTCATCATGGGATTGCTGTAGCAGAGTTAAGTCTGACATGGCACAGAAATGACCAGCTTCCTGGGGCCCTGACGGCAATGGGCCAAATCTGCTTTACTGCCTGTTTCTGTAACAAAGTTTTACTGGTCCTGACTAAAGCCATGTGTCTGTGCTTTATCTGTGCTGCTTTCAGAGTGGAACTATCACAGAGACCTGATGCAGCCCAGAAAGCCAAAATATTTCTTCTGTGGCCCCTTATGGAAACAGTAGTTGTCTCCGCTCTGGGTCACCCTATGCACAAGGAAGGACTCCTATCTCTTGGATTCTCATGGCTGGGAAGCAGAGGGCTTGGGTAGGGCCACTCTGAGAGGGTAGTGGAGTCACAGACAGCCATCTCCAGGCTCTGGAGCTCTGTGATCCTAAGGTTTGGGCACACTGGGTATTAGAAGATACCAGGCAGCCCCTTCTTTGCTCCAGCTATAGAAACAGTGTCCCATGCTGGACAGTGATGGCACATACCTTTAGTCCCAGCATTCAGGAAGCAGAGGAAGGTGGATCTCTGTGAGTTCAAGGCCAGCCTGGTGTACAAAATGAATTCCAGGACAGCCAGGGCTACACAGTAAAACACTGTCTTGAAACAAACAAACAAACAAACCTGAAAAACAGTGTCCCAGGTTTGGGTGGCAAACACGTGACACCAGTGTTTCCCACCACAATGTCACTGGCAGTATGGAAGCCAGCAGTTAGCCCAGCCCTGCACACATGCACACACAGCAGAGAGGCAAGGCTGGTAAGTGAACAATGTGACATTTAGATAGATACAATCGCAGCCAAAAGATCAATATGAGAATTCCTAAGAGTTACAAGAATGAAATATATTTTTCATTGATTTGTTGTTTTAAACCATTAAGAAGATGGGTAAGCGTGTTAGAGCAGGGTAAACACTCAGGGCACTGAACACACCACTGTTTTCACACCGTCGTAGAAAATCAATCTCACTGACATATTTTCAAAGTTAAAACCCAAAAAGCAGAGCACACTCCTCAGGCCAGAGGGTGTGTGGCCCTGAGGAGTGAGACATCACCCTGTTGACCACCACGGCCCCGCTGCAGTGCAGGGTCTGACTCCAGGAGTCCATTGACCAAAATTTACTCCCATAGTTGCTTTTAGAAAGAATCATAAAAATATCCAAAGCTCCTTTTTATGTTTAAATTGGCCAAGTGGCACCTATTTGCCTGAAGCACTAAAGCAGACAGTGCGGGAGAGATGGATCGATAGGAGGAAATGGAGAGGCTGGGGCTCCGCACAAAGTTAGGCTGCCGTGCGCTGACATTATTGATTTTACCTAGTTCAGCTGGCCTTGTAATTAAAATGTAAATTTGAGAAAGAGATTATGTCCTGACAGAAATGGTAGGATTAAGGGGAAGATAAAAGCCCCTCAGTGAAAATTCAGAGAAAGAAATGAGAAAGAAAAAAGCGCCTGATTTCCTCAGCCATGTGGATTTAGACTGAATCTAACACTTCAGATTCGCCTGTGTTTAATTGGAAAAACAGTGATGGACTATAAACTAGTATTATGAACTGAGCTTATTGCACACGTCTGTCTGTCCAGACACTCCAGCTTAGGCTGGAGTTAGCTCCCGGGACTCCCAAGGGAGTCTCCATTTGGTATAATGATGAAGGCTTCCTACCTCCCATCCATGCCACAGGTCCTGCTGCCCATGGGCCAGTGCCCTTCTTGCCCTACCCCTCGTGTGAATGCTCCAGGAATTCTAGCTGTGTGATGTGTCCCTGGCTTCAAGGGCCCACAACCCCTCCTTGGTTCCTGTGGCCCTGAATGGTGGCACTGAATGTCAGATTGTATGTACTTAGTGTGGCTGCTGTAGGTCTACCTGTACACCCTACCCAGTTCTGCCTTGTTTTCCACTTGATGCCATTTTGAAGGCACAAAACAACAACTGGCTCAGAACACATCAGCCATCACTGCCTTCCAGGTTTAAGACAGGTCTAGACCCTTTCCAGGTAAGATATAAAATTACAGACAATGAAGCAAGCCACCAGGGTCTCTGCTCTGTTAGGCTGAGATGAAGCCCCTTACCAGCTTTGTGTACATGGAAGGCTCTGAAGAAAAGATAGTTACACACAGGCTGCTGGGCACTGGATGCAGGAGCTTTGGACAGTGTAGTTATTGCTGCTGTGTAACAAATAGCCCAATACTCAGTAGTGGAACGAGGAGTATTCTGTTGAGAATCACGGATAAGTCTACATTAGGAACACCCAGCAGGCAGCACAACTCTGTTGTGGGGCCTGAGCCAGGCCTGGATGACCATGAGATGATGTGAGGCTGTCACTGCCAAACCAGAGCCACTTGTGACTCCCTAGGTGGCCTCACAGCAGGTTGCTCGTGGCTGTATCCAAGCAAGTGTCCCAGCAAGTGGTGGTGGGAGATACTTCAAAGTGTTTCTATGACTTGGCCTCCTTTGCTGGACCCAGATGGCCAACAGTCACAGGCCATCCAGGTATAGGCAGAACAGAGGACCATTTCCGATCAGGACTAAAGGATTTGCTCTATCCCTGTCTAATGTCCACTGGTGACTAGAAAGGGCTTCACTGTGTGTGCCTATCTTCCAGAGCTGACACTGAGTAAGCTTCTGTGAACATGGGCTGCTGTTCTCATTGACCGTCATTAGCCATTCCCAAGCCACAGGCCAAAGCTATCCTTGCCTATGATGTTTTGTTCTTTGAGGACAATCCTCAGTGTTGGCTTGTCACTGCTGGCCCTGCTACAAATGACATGGAGCCACTCAAAACCTATGTGAAGTCAGACTGACCATATCTGCTGGAAGGATATGGAACATCACAACAGCATACAGAGGCCCAAGCTAAAATATTCTGGTGCAACTATGAGCCCTGAATCAGTGCTGGCTCCCAGGCTTTCCTAAAGACTCCAAAAGCCAGAGTCTGATAAAGAAGGAAAATGTGGCTTCCAAGGAGGGCAGAAGGACATCAAGGCAGATAAGACCAAGGTACATAGATAGGTAGGTTCTACTGATACCGCCTGGACCATGATAAATGTCCCTGCCTCACCTGACCTCACTACCCACTGTTCGAGACTGGTGGCCTCAGATATAGCCACTGCCATACCAGCATCTTGACAGACCAGGGGCTCATCCAGCTGAAGGTGAAAGACACAGGGGCAAAGACCACAGGGGCACAGGATGGCGGCCATGTCAGCCCATGGTATGCCTAAAACATTTCCTGTTGCCTCAGGTGTTGCCTTAGATGTGGCGCTCAGCTATGACCACTTTGGGTGAGGGTTTGGCCATGAGGTATCTCCCACCAGGTAGAAAGGTAAGCTGGGAGATGGTAAGAATCCATCTCAGGTAGAGATGGATGCGTGGAGAACATGTGGGTGGAGGTTTGGAAGGTCATGGAGCGTGTATGCTGAAGAGCCCATGAGAGCACTGTGAGGCAGAGGCCTGGAGAAGTAGTATACACAACTCAGCAACAGGCGGCCCCAAACCAGCATTTGAGGCTAGCAGATAAGAGGACATCTCTCCGAGGCAGGGAGCTCTTCATGGAGCATTGCAGCACTGGGACTTGTGCAGAGTGGGCCAGACCAGGCCACTGTGCTCAGGCAAGGGTCACCAATAAGCCCTGAGTGTAGGAGGTTCTTCCTGACAGTCACACTCACTGGCCCTAAGCGCCCAGCCTGCTCAAGAGATATTGCTAGGCAAAGGGTTAGAGAGTAGAGAGGGATGATTCTGCCTGGGCCAACTTGGCATGGCACCCCTAGTGGGTCGTGTCATCTGAATTCTGTTAACAAATTCAAATTCCACCCCACGGATGCCAGTTCAAACCCACTTGCATACTTCCCACAGAAGCCAGGAGACTTGTTTTTATTTGCTTCCACTTGGAATAAGTGATGCCACACCTGAGGCTGTGCCCTGGATCCTGGGTCCCCTTTAAGTCTACACTTGTTTTCTCTGGAGGGCACAAGCCAAGGGTACAGTGTGTGCCTCTGAGAGTTTTCTTGGAAGAGAGGAAAATCCTAGATGGGACATGTCTGTCTGTCACAGTGGTGTTCTGTGAGTGACGAGTCAGCAGCCATGTCTGTGACCTCAAAGCAGGGTGCTTTTATTATGATATCTGCCTCCCCTCCACCCTGATGCCAGCCCCATGGGGGCAAAGGCATCCCCATAAGACTGCATCCCTGCCCCACAGCAAGACCATTAAATGATCCAGAAGACCCTGTGTGGTAGATGCTTGGCATGTGCTGGCCACAGGGGCGCTCAGGGCACAAAAGAAGCACCCCACAATTTAAATAAAACATTATTGATGCAGCAGTTGTAGGAGGGAAGCTGGCCACCGAGTTCCCTGGGGTGATGCCACAACCCTGAGGCATTCTCCACAGTGGGGACCTGTCTCCCAGTTCCTTGATGCCCAATCCTACCCCTCGTGGGCCCAGAGCTCACCATATTCAGCCCGTAAGTGGTCAGGGATTCGAGGCTCATAACCCTCTTTCTCTGGGACCTCCACAAAGTCCTGATCTTCATCCTCGCTGTCCTCCAGTGCTTCCATCTGTGGAAACATTCCCAAACACAAAGTCACCAGATCTACCCAACAGCAGCTGCCCATGGGCTATGTGTGGGTGCTGCTTCCTATAGACCATCTCTCCACTTCAGGACTTCAGCTACAGATGTGGATAGTCTTTAATTACAATGCCTCTAAGACTGTTCTTATTCTTAAATCATAGTGCCCTTGCTTAGCTCAAACCTGGAGCCATTCCCTAAGCACCCCCTCTTGTGCCTGTTGCAGTGGGCATCACCAAGCACCTGCACAGCTGGCTCATCCTCGTGAAGCAGGCAGCAGAGTCTGAACTAATGCTGCCGCCATTCCACCTACAGCTCTGCCATACCCAAGTAAGGGTCACAGGTCATAACATTTGCTGTGCCTCAGACCCACGTTCCTCCAATCTCACTGCAGAAACATCCTCTGATGAGGTTCCTCCCACTCTACTTCTCACTGATCTCTTCCAAAGCCTTCCATGCCCAGCCTAAGAAGTCAGCAACCCAGCCTTCCTGAGCTCTGTTTCACATGAGGGGACCAGGCTCAGCTCACCAAGGAAAGGAGGTCCATGCCCCTAGAGCAGTGGTACCCCTCAGATTGTGGTGGCTCCTTGAATTGTGATGCCCCTGGAATTTTGCTGATACCCCGATCAGCAAAATCCTGTTGCCGCCCTGCCAACTTTCAATGCCCTTATAGCTTCCAAAGCTCCAGGGCAACTGACTAAGCACAGTGCTGCATACCTTTAATCTCAGCGCTTGTCTGTGCATGAAATGAAGGGGTAGGTGAAGGGCTGAGATAAAGAGAAGATTGAATTACAGTAACATTCCATAGAGCCCTAGCTGACCAGCAGGAGCTCTGTACTGTGTATCCATCAATGTCGGAGAGTGGACTGGGTTCTTGTGAGGCAGAGGCAGGTGCATCTCTGTGAGTTCAAGGAGGCCAGATTGGTGTACATAGCAAGTTCCTGGACAGCTTCATATTAGAGATAATATTCAAAAAGCCAAAAAATAAATACATAAATAAATAAAAGCTCCAGGGCAGAGCTGAGAGACAAGGAAGGTCCCTGCCAAGTGAATGCTAACTAGTGGGAGCCTCATAGGGTTATAAGAAAAACTCTGAAAAACCTAAACGTTAATTTTTAAAGCCATTCCCAACATCAACACTTTGAATTCACAGATGCCCCTGGTGGTTCTGACTACGTCCCGAAGAGAGAAAGGGCACTAAGGAGTAGCTTCTATTTTCAGGACAGGGGCCACTGTGCCTCAGAAGCTAAGCCAGGCAAATGCTAGTCACCACGGAGGAGGGACCTACAGGGCATCCCTACTTATGCCCTAGCTCAGCGTGCTGCCCACCCAGGTAGAGCTGGCTCCACCATCGGGCTGCTGGAGCCATCAGCAGCCACATCTGGCCATGCCTGCTGGCCCCATGCCCCAGCCTGGGAGACTCCTGCCCGAGAGAGCATAATCAGATGCAAATGCACTTTGTTTTGGTGCAGTCCACAGTCGTGCATCTGGGAAGCACAGGAGACATTAATCATCGGAAACTGTAATTTTTGTTATCAGTCTAACACTGATCAAAAGGGAAGCCTGTCTCCACCGTTGACCTGTGAAACGTCCCAATTATACTCTTTGGAAATGACAGGGGCACTTAACTCCCGAGCTGAGCAAATGACGACGATCAATCACGTTTGAATAACAATGAGCCACGGACCTGAAAATTATTTTTGTATAGAATCTACCCAGGAATTTATGAAAGGTGGAAAGCAGCCCAAGGTTTTAGGGCATTACGGGCTCAGCTAGTGCAGTGCGTATCAAACACTAAACAGAATTTATGTGTTTTAATTTTCTAAAAGGTAGATGTGGGCTGGGTGCTACAATGCATAACATATAGTGCCAGGTTTTAAATATGGGGGTCATTTTCATAAAATATTATGCTTATTGCTCACACCCTTGAATTTTGCTGGGGACTTTTTATCAAAATTTCATTTCCTAAAAAAATATTCAACTGCTTAGGTAACTATTAGAATTTTATCTTCTTCCTCCCCAGCTAAAACCGTTTATATTTTAGATTAAATGTGAAGCACTGGGTTCTTCCTTGTTCTTAAATTAGCACTGATAAAGCCTCTTCTGGCTGGCTGTGCATGCCTCCAAAAAGACCCAGCCTCTCTCTGGGGCCACAGAGAGATCCGCCAGCCATTCCTATACTTTACTGTGCAGCTATCTGGAATTTAGAGATGTCACTGTTAATACCTGAGCAAAGCTAAAGTGAACTTTTGATTCACATTTGGTAAATATCAATATTGCAAATCCTTGGTGCTGAGTTCCCAAGGACAGCTGACAGATGAGCCATACCCGAGGGACAGGAAATTACTCTCATGTGAAAAAGCTCTGAGCCCTAGTTGTGGGGACACTCTTGTGACCTGCTCAGGAGTCTGATCGCAAATAGTATGATCACAAGGGGCATTTCCCTGAAAAGGTAACACAGCCCAGAAGGGAGAAGGCCTTCATGGGTCTTGAACCTCTCAGTTGGCCAGCCTCCACTCACCGATTTTAGAATCTAATCAAGAGGTCATGAGCAGCGTGGTGGTAATCTGCCTTTAAGGTCACAGGAGAGGTTAGGAGGAGGCCAGCATCCAGAGGGGCTCACATAAAGTAGCTGGGAAGGAGATCACACCTGGGAAAAAGGCGTCAGGACTGGTAATGTCTTCAAAATCAGGCCAGGCTTCTGAAATGTTCTCAAGAACAGTTTACATTTGTCCCACATGAGGGCCAAGTTTTCTACTGTGGTCAAACAACACGGAACAAACCGAGTGAAACCTAGGGGGAGGAACAACCCTTAATGAGATCTGCACATGGGGCCACACACCAGCAAAGGCTGGATATCTCCCTCAGACCTTTTCTGACAGCTGAAATCCTGGGGTGCCTTTGAAAGCTAGGGTAGGTGGTCTGGAAACCCTCTGAACCAATCAGAAGACGTCTCCTAAGATGGCCCCAAGTGTGAGCTACACATCCCTACAGAGAGCCCACCCACCCGCCCACAGGAGAGACAAGCTTTTACCCACCACTGTTGCTGTGGTAGGGGTACTGCTGGTTTTATACAAATTGATTCTCATCCACAGTTAAAAGGATTTAGAAAAATGAGTCGTCATGATCATAATTAAACAAGCAATAAAACGGCTAAAATATACAACGCAATCAGTTTACAGAAGTGAGTGCTAATTATTTGCAAAGGAATGGGAAGAGCATCTCGACATACAGAAAACCCATGGCCGCCAAGCCCACAGCCTAGAGATACAGCTGGGACCATTAAATAAATTTTGTACGATCTAATTAACTTGGTGCGCAATCTCAATTACTTTTCACCCAAGAAATCACTTTTGTTCAGTTTTATGTGTGTCTATTTCCCTTTTAAAAAAAAAAATGATGTAAGGCCTCGTCAGACAAGTGAGTTCCAAACTGCATTTGTCTTTCAGCGGCTTGATGGCTATGCATTTAAAAACCCATTCTATCTTATAAACTAAAAATTAAACGTGCTCAGCTGTGATGGCCGTCATTGCATCTGCTATTTATATGCTAATGCCCTCCCTGGAAGGCCGTGCAAATTGCCCGGCCAGGCCAATATCTCATGTGCATCTTGGCTGCCGGGGACGCACCTTCAGAGGACAGAGGGCGTTGTGGTGCTGACCACGTGATAACACATAAGAGGCACCTGGTGGACAGAAGGGCCAGCACTGAGTCAAACCTGCCCAGATTCCAGCAGGGCTCCACAGCATACACTCAAGACTCAAAATTACGCCAGAGCAAAAACTTCATTTTCTGGAATGGCTGTCTCTATAAAGACCAGATTCACCAAAAAAGATCTCACAGCAGCACGGCAGGACACAAAGGGGCAAGCATTCTCCTCCTCCTCTTTCCCTTGATCCAAATCAGTGCAGAACAGTCCACAAAAACCTGCCCTTGAGAATCCAGCATGACCAATAACCCCAGTGCCAGGGAGCTTCCTAGAACTGGGACCCAAGAGCTGAGTCTAGCCTGCTCTACAAAGTATGAGGCAAGAAACCTTGGTCACATGTGCCTAGAAGTCCATTTCCAGAGCAAGGCTAAGGCTAGAAAGCTCGGCTGTATCCAAACAAGAAGCTAAGCCAGGTCAGTAAGGGAGTCACATGCTGTAAATCAAACTGAGGGCTGGTAGCCTTGGTAGACACAGGCCAGGTGCTCTGGCTTTCTAGTGCTCCTAATGGGTATACTCAAAGCAGCCAGTTTGGGGAACCCATATATACATGCTCCCAATGACAAGGCTGTGTGAGTGGTGCAGAGGCAGGGAGAGTTATCATGAATGAGGTTATGTGAACTCCACACATTAACATCCAATGAAGTGTGAAATCACTAATCATTCTTCCTAGGAGTGTGCAGAGAAAGCCAACCACGCAGGGGACAAGTGCGTCCTCACCTGCCTGGGCCCACAAATAACAGTCTCTTTCCAGGATTGAAACAGTGCCTTGGCTGCCATCTCGGGTGAGAGCAGGTGGCCAGCCTCTGGGAACATGAGGCCACCCTATGCTGTGTGGCCTGTCCCAAAGGTGCCATATGAGGCTGCCTTTCCACTGGACACCAGGGACTTTAGAAGGGGCTGGGACTCAAACAGGTTCCTCAGGACTGCTTTCTTGTCTGTAAAATGGAGGAAATAATCTGATAGGGATCCTCTTGGCACTAAAGAGATAACATATGAGAACGTGTTGAGAGCCAGCTCATTCTGGAAAGAAAAATGACTGGGCCAGACACTGGAGCCAGGGGAAACGGAGACCAGATTCATGCAGCAGGCCTGAGAGAGTGTAGGCTGGGGCAGAGGCTGCTGAGCGGTTCTCTCCCTCCTTGTGAGCTGACCTCCGGAGACTTATGCTCAAACCCCTCCCCACTCTGTTGGGTGCGTGCCTGGCCTTCAGCATGATGGAGGGAGCACGGCACTGAGAAGGCTGTTTACGGGCCCTGCTGCTGCACAAGGTCCCACAGGCT